CACACACACACACACACACACACACACACACCGTCCTATGCTTGCCCTCACCCCACATTGTACAAGATATGCCAAAGTCTGCTCTTGGGCCAGACCTGGGGGAATTGCTACCCAAAAGGACTGTCAACACGGAACAGAGACAGAGGGGCCGGCAGCCCCATGGGGCTCTGCTGTCTGTGGGAAGAGTGGGGGCAACTGTCTGTGGGTGCAGCAGCCAGCGGGCAGGGCCAGGCTCTGAGTGGGCGGTGGGCTGCCGGCAGCTGACAGCCACCTGCTCAGCTCAGCGGAGAGCCGCCAAGGGAAGTCAAGCAGAAAAAGGCCTAGCCACCGTCCATGGGAACGGGCAAGGCGCCCACCAGCCCCCACACCACGCCTCAGACCGGCCAGTGCCTCCCCTAAGGCAGGGAGGATCTGCGCACGCGCCCGCACACCCTGCCCGCTGTGACCATGCCTCAGACCGGCCAGTGCCTCCCCTAAGGCAGGGAGGATCTGCGCCCGCGCCCGCACACCCTGCCCGCTGTGTGTCTGCCACCACAGTCCCCAAGACAGCCGTCTAGATGATGGCGGGCAGAGTCTCTTCCATGCCGGTTGGCTGTGAAAAATCAAGAAAATCTGGATAGACCAGTCTCATGGATCCAGAGTCCTGGTAGTCAAGCCACACAAACTGCACACACCCCACTGTTTCTCACACGCATCCCCAGCGCTCCCCATGCCCCTTCCTAGGGGTTCGGTCCCATACCCCCGCCCCATATACCATATACACACCCTACCGGCTCCCTGGACATTCCTTCACCAGCTCCCGGAGGAGAGGGAGCTCGCCCTGAACCCATGAGGTCAACGGCTCAGTGTCCCTGGCAAAGAATGAGGAAGGCCAAACCACTGAACCCGGAAGAAAAAGGAAAACAGGACCGGGCCCTCCCCAAGCAGCTCTTCCTTCTCCACACCCCAAAACACTGGGGTGAGCCCAGCAGGGCAGGCGAGCTCCCAGGGCAACGGCCAGGGGGCCAAGAGACCTTTGCCCACACCCAGAGGTCTCCGGGCAGGCCCCAGGTCAGTTAGTGGGGACTCCCAAAGTCAGGAGGTGTGGGGGGTGGGCCCTGGTGGGAAAGGAGAGGGACCCTAGCTCTCAGGCCGACCCCCATATTTCAGCTCAGAACACAAAAACAAAACATAAGGCCCCTGATCCTTGTTGACACAGACCTGTTGGAAGCCCAAGCTTTAGGTCCTCCCAGAGACATTTGCATTTACAAGCAGAGTGGGAGGAGGGTTATGCACAACCCAACTGGCCCTAGAAATGGGAGGGAGGTTCTAGAGGTGCCAGGAGGAATGCTCCAGTGAGAGGCAGGCTGGGTGCCCCCTAGCTAGGGTGTGCCTCTCCATGGTCTCCCCTGGTCTCAGCTCCTAAGCCCTAGGATTCTCTGACCCGTCTTCGCTAAGACAAGTGCCCGCAAAGCAGTCCATCCGGCAGCCTGCCCCTTTAAGCTACAGACTCCTCCAGTTTCTGCCCTGGGCTATTCTTATCCCAGCCTGACCCCAGGGGTGCTGCAGCCCTAAACACACACCACTAGCCCCAAGGCTCCCAAGCTGGGAGCCTCCACTGGTGCTGGGCCAGAAGGATTTCCTGCTCTGTGTCAGACAAGGACACAAAACCCAGGGGCAGATCACAGATTCCACTTTCATCCAGGTCCAAAGAGAAAACCCACTTGGGAGGCAGGGCCCTATGGAGGACCCGAGAACGAAGACAACTCCCCGAAGGTGGCGCTTTGAGTCCCCAAACCATAGGGAAGCCTGGAGACGGCAGGCAGTGGTCCAGCTAGTTCCAGGACCCCAAGGCACGGGCCTTGCAGGCCAGGCCGAAACCCAAAGGAGGGTCTCTGGAGGCACTGTGGGTTAGGCGCTGTCCTGTAAGGTCAAGGGATTCTAGATTCAGAGACCAATCCCTGGAGAAGGTCCTCCTGCTTGGTGGAGAGGCACTGAAGCAGAGGAAGACCCTCGATGAGTTTGATGGACACAGCGGCGACGACAATGGGCTCGGGGAATGGCCCACAACCAAGCATTCAGAACCAGTCTGCCTACCCGATGGCCCCTGACAAAACGTGGAAGAGAAAGGGCCACTGGGTTAAGGGGATGGTCAACCTGACTACGGTGACCTTGGACCCACCCCTCTGCGCTACAGTCTGGTAGGGACTCCCCACATAGGGTGTCCCATTCCCACCAGACTCGTTCCACTCCCCCACCCCTGCTGTCATGGAGTTGGCTCAGAGGTGACCCCATGTGTGCCAAAGTAAACTGGAGTCGATTTCTGATGGCAGATTTTTTTCAAATAAATCCCTGAGCCTTGCTTCAGAAGTCTCTCTGGGTGGTCTAGAACTTCCCATCCTCTGGTTAGCAGCCAAGCAAGTTAACTGTTTGCACCACCCAGGACTCCACCTGACTTTAGGGCCTCAAGTCACAGCTATGGCTGAGGGCGCCTCTCCCTTCCTCCTGCCTCCCCTCCTTACCATCCATCCACCTCCGGGTCCTCAGACGTCTCACTCTTTTACTCACTGTGCCCTTCAACACTTTGAAGGGCACTGGGGTCTGAGGGGACAAGACCAACATACATTCAAAAAAACCCTCATTGCTACCCAGCTGAGTCTCGTAAACATGCCTCTCACTCACAGCCGCTGAGTCTGTTCCCACGCCCACGGGCCTCACCGCATAGAGTAGAACGGCCCCAGTGGGCTTCCAAGGGTGCAACTCTCCACTCTTAATGAGAACAGCAAGCCCTGTCTTTCTCGCACACACACCTGGGGTGGTGCTAATCATCCTGCATCTCTGGGCATCAACGGGGCCTGCAGATTTTTCAACATAGGAAATGTCTTGGATGTAGGAAGAAACATCAATCAGTCGCCTATCTCTCCTTTATGGATGTCATCATGTTCTCCACAAAGATAAAGTCTTTACACCGGGTTCTGAGAATATGCTGTGTTAGGAAACGCAGGCCTTGAAGGTGTTATCAGTCAACCATGCAGTCATCCCAGAGTAGGGTGTGACTGGCGTCCTTATAAAAGAGAGGAGACTCGGAGAGGGAGAATGGCCAGGTGAACAGTGGCCTAGACAGTTAGGCAGCAGCTCCAAGCCACAGAACCCTGATAGCTACCAGGAGCCGGGAGCGACAAGAAAGGGTCTTCCCCCAGAGCCTTTGCTGCTGCCGGCACCCTGAATTTGGACTCCTAGCCTCCCTCACTGTGAGCGAGCGCTTTCTGTCATTGGAAGACACAGACTTTTGGGCTTTTATTATTGTACCAGCCCGAGGAAAATCAAGGACTCTCTTGGCACAAGAAGATTCCACAGCAGCAGAGGCCAAGTCTCCCATCAGCAAAGGGGGTCTCCACCGGCGGTCTAGCAGCCTGCTGGTCACACTCACATTCCACCAGCCCCATTTGAACGGGGCCTTGCCCACGGAGCCGCCTCCCTCAGGGTCCACCAGGGTAGCAAAGGCCAGAGGCCATTGTCAGCAGCACTGTTTACAGCTGGGTGAGTGCAGCAGGGTGTGACTCACAGGAGCCACAGATGGCCTGGAACCACGGGGAATGGGGGGAAACGGGATGACGAAGGCCACCGGTGACGGTGGGTAAGGAGCTCCGGGGCATGTCATGAATGGCGTGAGGCCTTTACACTTTGTTTTGGTGAACGGGCAGGAGGAGGGTGGAGGCGAATCCAGTGAGTTACTGCAGAAATAGAAGGAAGGAAACCTTTTCTGAAAAAATTTCCCCCCTCCCTCCTGGTGTTTGGCGCCAGATATTGTCTTTGTTAGTACAACGATCGTGAGTGGTGGATAGGATTGTCCCCGCTTGGCAGACGAGGAAACAAGGAAACAGGAAAGGGCTGAGCCATTTGCCCAAGGTCACCCACCTAGCACAGGCTAGACTGCTGCTGAGTTAAAGGGAAACTGGGGGAGCCTTAGATTCATTCTCTTCTCTTTGCCGTACCGGCCGGGAGAGCGGGCACATCACACCAGATGTTCAAGTGGACACTGCCATCACGCTGGCACAACCCCTGCCCTTCCACAGGCAAGCTCTGCTCCTCAGAGACCCCTCCAGCGCTCGCTCCAGATTAAGCCAGAACCAGTCCCTGACCCCCACTCTGAAAAAGG